TTTTTTTACATCGTGGTATTTTTTTCAACCAATGGGAATGACTATGAAAATAGAGGCCCCTTAGTAGAATTGCAAGGGTAGTGGATGGCAAACTAGGCGGCTCTTAGCCTAAGCTGTAAGACGCCGAGTGGATTAGTGAAAAAGAGTTTTGATAAACTAACGACTTATTATACGAAGATTGAGCTTCCCATCCATTCTACAGCAACTAACCGAACGAGATGGGATGTAAATCTTCGTTGGCCTCAGCGTGATTTGAGCCGAACTTTCGTAATTCGTTACCAGTCCTATGAGTAGGTAAGCAGGGTTAGCTTCCACCATGCTATCTTCGCTCCAATTGGGAAATTTTGGGACCTACAGGAATTCATGACAGGACGTTTTTTCCTACCTCAGTACTGCAAGTTTTTTTTACCACTCCATAGAAAGCTTGGTTGAAACAGGGTCAAAATTGGTTTCGCTGCAGAAACTGCTGGCCGATCCTCTGTACATTGGTCTCCGACATGAGAGAGTTCGTGGTGAACAATACGATCGCCTCATCGACAATTTTATGAAAGCAGTAACCAAGAGGTACGAAACGTCCTATTAAATTTGGATGGCAGTCAAATATATATTTAAGATTTGGCCGTGATACGCTCATCCAGTTCGAGGATTTTGCCTTCCAAAATGCTTACAACATTGCTCAATCAGATATAAGGACGAGTACTGCACATTTAACGACGACATCCAAGGCAAGTCGATCTTTGGTTGTGCTTTTTTTCCTGTCTTTTCTCTCTAATTCAGTCTCGCGCCGTCACAGTGTCCTTTTTTGCTACGTGTCGTCGTCTCCTGCTCAATGCATTTTTAGCCATTGCCTCCTCTCCAGGAAGCTACTTCTCCATGTCATTCGCTCGTTGTTTTAGGATTTCTCTTGGTCGCCGTATCCTTCAAGTCCAGCGCTTCTTTTACGAGAAGCCCAGTGACCGCCTCAGTACCCATACAATCACGCTTGTCGTTCCTGCTCCTTCAGTTAAAGACATGGTCAACTGTCCGTTCGCACTATTCGAACGACAGGGTCGCATTTTGGGTTGGGCAAGATTAAGTATCTCCTGAAAAAGTGCGCGAACGGGGGACGCAAGTAAGGGGCTGAGGGGGTTTTTACCGGTTTTCCGACGATTCGTGCGAACGTGATGGTGGAACGTGGTTGACGAGGGGCATGACCATCCGGACGTCCTTATTTCTAACTCTTTCCAGTCGCATCCTTATACAAGCCCTTCAAAAGCTCTCACGCGGGTAGGGTGAAGCCCCTTCCATGATTCCTGCCAATGGTCAGCACTCGCAGCCTACATCGTAGGCTCTATCTCTGTTCAGTGCATCTTGCCCTTTGCAGTTGCACCAGAGCATCGTCGGCCGCTGAGAGGGCTTTTTCCCCGGGTTCGTCTGTGAAAGGTCTCGGCCAAAAAAGCTAACTCAAATGGGAATCTGCCGGGAACACGGGTTGGACCTTCCGGCGAAAAGCTGACAAGGGTAGAGAAGAGCCTTCCAGGCAGACTAAAGCCGGAACTGGGCTAATATCTGGATTGTGAAGACGGGTCTGTCCGTCTATTCACATACATCTCTGTCTATCTTTGACGATATGCGTTAGCCATAAGGTTAAATGTTTTCAGGAACAGCTGCCATCGTTGTAGCTGGTTTACTTGCTACAACCCGTGTGACCAAAGTGAAATTGTCACAGAAGAAAATAGTATTCCTTGGAGCTGGAGCGGTAAGATTTTCTGAGTTTTTATAGTAGTAGAATCTTGAAAACAACAACCCCACATCGAATTGGCTAAGGTAGCTGCGTTTGATGATGATGGAGGACAGAACGTCTGGAGGTGTTTTTTGAACTACAATCGCATCAATGCCATGCACCTCTTATATCTACCTATCGGCTATCTTATCCGATAGGTCACAATCCATGCTGCATACTAAGGGTGCAGGGAATATCCTCCATGAGTTCACATTAACCGCCATCATCACTTTCGTAAGGTCTTAGCGCCATTGTCGCGCACTCTCGAGCCGCGATAATGGCACACCTGTGATACTCGTGAGCTACTCTATCCTTCCTCTCAGAATAGATTTTTTGACGCGACCCCATCTGGGGCTATTGCTTTGAGTGGAACATCCTCAGTGCTTTCTAAGCAAAATTCTAAAAGTTTACCAATTGCCAGTTGATTTCGGGCATTTAAACTATTCTGAAAAATGCTGTCTGGAACTGTATGTTTTAGAATTTTTGTGAAGTTTTTTAATATGATTTTAAAGGCCGGTCTGGGGGTAGCCGAGCTATGTGTGGCTCAAATGATGGACGAAGGATTAACCAAAGAAGAAGCCTCTGCCAACATTTATATGTTGAACAGCAAAGGTCTGATCACCAAGGAACGTGCAAAAGGACTTACTCCACTCCACCAACAATTTGCAAAGGTAGGCCGTCGGTTTTGCGTAAATTACCTAAGAAAATATATTTTAAAATGAATTGCTGTTATCCTCAAATGGCGGCAGAACGGCGGCAGGGGTTGCGCTCAATGGCGTGCGGTAAGCTCCTTCCGTTTGGATTTACTTCCTTTCCGAGGTCAGCAGGTGGACACTTTAGAGAATCGAATTCTGAATTGACTGTTGAAGGTATAACACCACGTTAGACTGATTCATAAGCAGTGATTTCTGCTCCTACCCTTGTTGCGGGGCATGACGTATTTTCTGTAAGAAATCT